CTGAGTGACCATGTCTGCCAATGGGATTTTTTTGAAAAAACCCAGTTAAGCTGAACAAATATCTAAGCAGTACACAGACTAAAAATTAAAAAAAAAATTAAAAAAAACACAGATTGTTGAAATTTACAAAATTAATAGTTACGAAACGAAACATTTACCACTTTTATGTAAGGATATATTGTTAAACACAACCAGATTTCCCCAAGGCATCATATAAAAACGCAGATCTTGGCGTCCTTTTTAGGACGACATTTTTCGTTATTAGAAGCCCTACTCTGGCTCTCGCCAGGAGCCGCAATATAGCCTGGCCATAAATATGGCCTAAAGGCTGAACGCGTTTTCTGGGACGTCTCCACGGTGATCCTCACCCACATGGTGGTACATTGTGTCATCGGGTGTTTATCGCTTGTGTGATGTCCTGGTGGGGTAGAAAGTCAGCCAGTCAGTCGGTAAAACCCCAGATCTTGGGGTAAAACCCAGTATTGGCAGCCCGGGGCCTGACCTGAGTGTGACCCCCACGCCAGCCTGTCCATTACCGAGCCAGACTACAGACATGCGCGGACAGGTGACTTCCGCCAACCTGCTGGTAGTATCGATCCTAGGCGTGTGCTGAGGTTAAACCCCCCCCCCCCCCCCCCTGTGTCAACTGGGCATCTGGACTTTCAGATAAGATAAAGGCGTGTGCGTATGCGTGCATATATGTGTGCGTGATCGCGTGTATGCGAGCATTGTTATAATGATGTCCGTTGTTAAGGATTAAAACAAATAACTGGTTAGCTGGACAAAGCGTGGACATATTTTAGGCTTATCAAAGCATCGATCTTCTTCACACTCACCTGCATCTCTCGCGACTTGTCTGTCTCTTCCTGTGGCATCCTTTCTCGGCAGTCGAATCCAGACTAAGGTGTCAGCTTTAGCTTTGGCTTGTATACAATTGGAATAAGACAAATTGACCGAAAGACAAGTGTAATCTTAAGAAACATACAAGTTCAAGAAATCAATAGGGGAGAAACAGAAGTTAGCGTGCCAAAGGACACACAGTAATAAAACAAAACGAAAACAATCAAAACAAGAATGAACTTTAACTGGAACCCGCAGGGTGAAAGAGATAACTGAATAACTATCGAATATGTGAAGACAGGGATTGGAAATAGGAAGATATGGTAAGAGATGCAGGAAATTGTAAGCGATCAAATGGATTTGTTTAAAGTCATGTGTTCCAATTGTTGAAGAAGATGAATGGATCAGATCAGTGTCAGTTAGAAACTAGGTTAGGGCATGATGATGATTGGTGCAACCACAACCGCCATTGATCTCCCAGTCTACGCAGTCTGCGTTGCTGGGTATGTAAAGTCAAAGTCGAGAGGAACGACAGTAATGTACTGGCACGGTTCTTCTTCGCAGATCGGCTATCCACCTGCCCAAAGCGTCTCACTCAGCAGCAACTCCGTAGCTCCAGTGATGATCTCCAAGAATCTCAGTGAATTGAAAGACCGTCCATGAAAAGAACCCGCGACCTTCAGAACTCAAGGCTTGAGCACTTCGCCACAGAAAAGCCGCTTGGGGGAATTTTGCTAAAATCTGCTCTCTCCTACTGCCGTCTGCCGCAATTTACTGCACATCCGGACAATTATTATCTGCGACACTCTACTATACATCCATACAGTTTGCCATCTGCCACAATATACTACAGATTTAAACATTTGCCATCTGCCACAATATACTACAGATCCAAAAATTTGCCATCTGCCACAATATACACCAGATCCAAACATGAGCCATCTACCACAATATACAACAGATCCAAACATTTGCCATCTGCCAAATTCACACACTCAGTTTTTGCTTTGTGTTACATCTATACTATATATCCATACAGTTTGCCATCTGCTACAATATACTAAAGATCCAAACATTTGCCATCTGCCACAATATACTACAGATCCAAACATTTGCCATCTGCCACAATATACTACAGATAAAAACATGTGCCATCTGCCACAATATACTACAGATCCAAATATTTGCCATCTGCCACAATATACTACAGATCCAAACATTTGCCATCTGCCACAATATACTACAGATCCAAACATGTGCCATCTGCCACAATATACTACAGATCCAAATATTTGCCATCTGCAACAATATACAACAGATCCAAACATTTGCCATCTGCCACAATATACTATAGATCCAAACATTTGCCATCTGCCACAATATACTATAGATCCAAACATTTGCCATCTGCCACAATATACTATAGATCCAAACATTTACCATCTGCCACAATATACTATAGATCCAAATATTTGCCATCTGCCACAATATACTACAGATCCAAACACTTGCTATCTGCCACAATATACTACAAATCCAAACATTTGATATTTGCCACAATAAACTACAGATCCAAACATTTGCCATCTGCCACAATGTACTACAGATTCAAACATTTGCCATCTGTCACAATATACTACAGATCCAAACATTTGCCATCTGCCAAATTTACACAGTTTTTGCTTTGTGTTACATCTATTCTATACATCCCAGGGCTTTTTGAGAATGATGTAAATAATTAATAAACAACGGATTACAAATTCCGCAAAGTAATCAGTAAGGGTAAATAAACAGCTTCTTCTTCTTCTTCTTCTTCTTCTTCTTCTTCTTCTTCTTCTTCTTCTTCTTCTTCTTCTTCTTCTTCTTCTTCTTCTTCTTCTTCTTCTTCTTCTTCTTCTTCTTCTTTTCTTCTTACTTCTTCTTCTTCTTCTTCTTCTTCTTCTTCTTCTTCTTCTTCTTCTTCTTCTTCTTCTTCCTTCTTCTTCTTTCTTCTTCTTCTTCTTCTTCTTGCTTCTTTTCTTCTTCTCTTCTTCTTCTTCTTCTTCTTCTTCTTCTTCTTCTTCTTCTTCTTCTTCTTCTTCTTCTTCTTCTACTTCTACTTCTACTTCTTCTTCTTCTTGTTCTTGTTCTTGTTCTTGTTCTTCTTCTTGTTCTTCTACTTCTTCTTCTTCTTTTTGCCCCTTCACACTTTCATTCGCACTTGAAAGGGCGATAGGTATATTGTGTTGTGATTGATAACTATGCTTGGGTATCTGTGCCTTCCGGACCAACTGATCCTATTTCAACAATCCCCTAATTAGCCGCCTTTTACGACATGCTTATTAGATGGTATATGTATAATTTGTTTTCAAGAACATGGGTTTCATGAACCCTACGGGAATGGCTCGGTCGCAAGATTACTTAATGGTGTGTATGCCTGATGTCAGTGTGGTGTAGATAGAGTTGCCATGGTATGTATGCCTGATGTCAGTGTGGTGTAGGTAGAGTTGCAATGGTATGTATGCCTGATGTCAGTGTGGTGTAGGTAGAGTTGCCATGGTATGAATGCCTGATGTCAGTTTGGTGTAGGTAGAGTTGCCATGGTATGTATGCCTGATGTCAGTTTGGTGTAGGTAGATTTGCCAGCACATCGTCGTTTTAAAGATATCATTGACAAAACCATCATTCTATAATCTGCATCATTATCCCGTAACACTACGTGTCGTTGGGTCACCAGTTTCTGTTGACTGTCTGATCAGCTCTCTCCACCTTTGGCGACCAGCGATGGACTTCATGGTTGCATACCTGAGGCCTGTCCAGTCAGTCAGGTTCTGTAACCAGGTCTTTCTTGGTCTGCCAGTTCTCCTCTTTCTCTCTATCGAGCCCTGCACTATTGTTTTTGAGAAGCCGTTAGATCTCTGCCAGCTGCACACAGAAAAGATCTATGTGCTGTAAATACCAGCTTGTTAGTGGCTGTTTGGACGCCCACGGGGTGGTAACATGTTGTCGGTTGTGGAGCGTACCGTTCCTTTGTTAACCGTGAGACAAGGCTCGTTTGTAGTGACGAGAGTCAACTGTAATAGATTCACCCCCCCCCCCCTTTTCCGACCCATTCTTCCGTGGCTTATTAATGTACTTAGTATGTATTTTGATTGACCAATCAGTACTCGATGAGGAAAGTAACAGTATCGCTGCTTTCCCTTTCCAGAATATTTCCTATTAACAACGTTAGGAACTCTCAACCTAAGATTTAATTTAAACAAGATTCCTGCTGTGGCAGGATTTGAAGACGTGAACATTGGACATACAGGCTAGCTATCTATTTACTTTCGTGTGGACTCAATGTTGACTGAGCCAGTGACACCGACAGAACTTCTAGTGCAGACACCTGTATTTGTTTGTATATAGTGATTGTTTTTTTTTGTTCAACACTTTGTTACACCCACACCTGTATTTGTATCTAGTGATTGTTTTTTGTTCAACACTTTGTTACACCCACACCTGTATTTGTATCTAGTGATTGTTTTTTTTTTGTTTTTTTTGTTCAACACTTTGTTACACCCACACCTGTATTTGTATCCAGTGATTGTTTTTTGTTCAACACTTTGTTACACCCACACCTGTATTTGTATCTAGTGATTGTTTTTTGTTCAACACTTTGTTACACCCACACCTGTATTTGTATCTAGTGATTGTTTTTTTTTTGTTTTTTTTGTTCAACACTTTGTTACACCCACACCTGTATTTGTATCCAGTGATTGTTTTTTGTTCAACACTTTGTTACACCCACACCTGTATTTGTATCCAGTGATTGTTTTTTGTTCAACACTTTGTTACACCTATACCTGTATTTGTATCTAGTGATTGTTTTGCTCATATCTATAACAAAATTTGATATTAAGAACCGAGATGTCAAAAACCGGAATGAATTTATAAACTTTTCAAAATTTAACCCATGTGTGATGATAATGACTTCTACCAAATATTAACCTTTCACCTTTCTGCTTTCTTTCCAGGTTGAATTATCCAACAATTGAGACTGGAGATGCACCGACCTCTGTGAACTGGTGCAGCAGTAATAAACATCCTTGGCTTTGTTGTGTTTGGATAAATCTTTCCTTATCTTAGAGAGGATATAACAACTTGGACACTGCTTGCAGACCGGCAAAAGACAGACAAGCATGGGGAAAAGTATGTCACATTTGTCCAAGGAGGACTTGAAGTTTTTGCAGGAGAATACCAAATTCAATAAGGACGAAATTAAACAGTGGTACAAAGGCTTTATGGTAGGTGGCTGCACATGAGTCTGTGTTCTCGATGTGTATATTATTATATATTACAATTGTGCTAAAATACCTGTCATTAATATAAATCTATGCAAACAAAGAGATACTGCTGTCACTCCTGAATTTCATCGGTGAGGTGTTAGTTAGTCAACAGATTATCCTCATTGCACATCGAACCATTCAGTCCATAAGTGTTCAGACCCATCCTCAGTAGATCTGGCAGTGGCTGTCGACACCATTTCTTGGTTGGTTTCTTATTCTTCTTTGGCTACCTGCCTAGTGCTTTTGTGTGGCCACACCCTTTCAACAAGTTATTCTTACGGTCTGGTCATGGCTGCAGATTTACAGTCATCACTTGCTCTCGCAAACGTATTTATCGGTCAGATTTACAGTCATCACTTGCTCTCGCAAACGTATTTATCGGTCAGATGTACAGTGTAACAAGAAACAGAGTAATTTATGTGTGTGCTTCAACGAAAATTATTCAGGTGTTGTGCTTCACTAAATGTTAACACATATACAGTCGAAAGGTACCTGGCCAGATACCGTGTACTTGGAACAGCTCTGGGTTATCTTCACGGGACTCTGACCACGTCTATGGGTCCTCAGATCCCCCTGACTCCTTGTCAACTTATACGTCAGCCTCGCACTACTACTAGTGGCAGTTCTGTGCTGGTTAACCTCTCATTTGTCTGGTATGCCTCTCGTGCAGGCTGTGCCGATGTTTACTCCAAAATGTCTTATTCTTAGCAGCTGTTTGGATGCACCTCCTCCCGGAATCGCGTAATCATTCTCTGTCTCTTTAAGTTCATTAACAGTATGGACAAAATCTATAGATTAGCCAGCCAGTCTTTCAACTCTTTAATTGCCAGCAGCACCCGCATTCCCTGGGACAAAGACGATGGCACCTCCCTTATCATATGACCTCTTTACTGATTTGAAACGGCGCGTGCCTCTGCACGCCGGATCCTGTTCATGAAATCAATCAGTAGACATCTATAATAGTGATATATTCTTGTGTGACAGCATTGTAAAACTCAACAATATCAGTTGTTGGCGCAATCCCAAAATCACAGAAATGCCACAAGAAACAAATCCAGACATTGATGGCCACTCATGTAAATATAAGTGTAGGTGATAAATATAGATTAGAGACAGAGTCATTTAGACGTTATCACAACGACCGTCATGACTTCATAGAACAACACTTCCTGCCACCCATCGAGTGCTTGCTGATCCAGGCACGCCTACTCCAAGTAACGTGTTTCTGTGTTATCTGTTAGTCTTCAGGGGCTAACTTAATGCATAGCAGTGTGTGTGTGTGTATATATATGTGTATCATCATCATCATCATCATCATCATCATCATCATCATCATCATCATCATCATCATCATGTAGCAGGTCCTTTGCAGAACGTCGCTCTCATCACAATCTGCCTGAAAGAAACTCGGTCTCTCACCAGTTTTCCCCCCTCATGCACTTTCATACTCAAGGAGTCACTTATATCATGTGCCCATCTTCGTGTCGGTCGGCCCCTGCCCCTCCTTCCTGGTACCATGCCTTGTGCTATATTTGTTTTCCAATCCGTCATGGTGCTTGATATGACCAAAATATGTCAGCTTCCGAGACAGGATGCTGTTTATTAGCCAATCTTCCTTGATGTTCAGATCTTTCAAGATGTCAATATTTCTCATCTTCTTTGTCCAAGATATTCTGAGAATCTTGTTATAGCATTTCAGCTCAAAAGCGCCTATTCTCTTTCTTAAGGACTGGGAGATAGTCCACGACTCACATCCGTATGTAGCCACAGGGAAGATGCATGCTCTCAAAATTCTAATTTTTATCTCCTTGCTGGTGCTTAACCATAGACTTTTAAATCTGTTCAATCTTTGCATTGCTATGGCCATCCTCCTTTTAATTTATGTCGAACAGTCTCCATTGTTGTTTATTATAGAGCCTAGATATTCAAAGTTTGTGACATCTTCAATTTCTTCATCATGTAATTTATATATATATATTAATTAAAGCAGTTCGAAAGTCCAGTTGAAACCTTATGGTTGTGGAAATATTGAAGAGTATGTTTTATTTCGTGGAAACAGAAACAATCGAATAGAGAGGGTGTAGTAAACTAGGAGGGAATTAACAGAAAAGAGTTGACAGAATCGAAAATATAAAAATAAATACTCTGACCACTTGAAGATAGAAATCGCTGTAAAATCATCATAATAATAATTGTTGAAGGCAAGCCAGTTTAAGGTAGACAACAATGTTGTGGAATGACATCAAGGGATGGGCGAACATCAGTCTGGGAGAGTGCACGGCTAGTGTGGTAAACAGAGAGTAGTAAAAAGGTCTCTCTCTCTCTATCTCTCTCTGTCTCTCTCTGTCTCTGTCTCTCTCTCTGTCTCTGTCTCTCTCTGTGTCTCTCTCACTGTCTCTCTCTGTCTGTCTGTCTGTCTCTCTTTCTCTCTCTCTCTCTCTCGCACATGCATCTACATCAACACACGCACGTGCATACATACGCCACACTATGTAGAATGTATTGCTGTCTCATCGTGTCTAATGCATTCATCTGCTTACAAAAAGAGAATATATCAGATATCTCTCTCCCTCTTCTCTCTCTCTCTCTCTCTCGCTCTCTCTCTCTCTCTCTCTGTCCCTCCTATCTGTCTCCACTTCGTCTGTCCCTCTTTCGTTGTCTCCGCCCCACCTCACACCATTGTAAAACATGCATTGCCACATATCATTCATCCGTATGCACGCAGAGAATATGAGATCAATCTCTGTCGATACCTGTCTCTCCCCCTCGCTCTATCTATTTATCTGACTCTTGCATTCGTCTCTCTGTCGATCTGTTTCTGCCCTTCCCTCCTCCCATATTGCAGAAGATTTAACACTATTTATAACTTTTTCTATCTGCCCTCCCTACCCCCGCCCTATTGTATAATCGATTAATCGATTCACCACCCCCCCCCCCCCCCCCCCCCCCCATATTGTATAAGATGTATCACTATGTCTAATCGATTCATCTGCCCTCCTGCCCCCCCCCCCCCCCCCCCCCCCCCCCCCCCCCCCCCCCCCATATTGTATAAGATGTATCACTATGTCTAATCGATTCAATTGCCATCCTTTTCCTTGCCCCACCCCCCCCCCCATATTTTATAAGATGTATCACCAGGTATTAGTAGATGTATCACCAGGTATCCCTGTGTCTAATCGATTCATCTGTCCCCCCACAGAGAGACTGCCCCGACGGTAAACTATCTAAAGAAAAGTTTAAGGAAGTCTACGCCCAGTTTTTCCCTGGTGGTGACCCGGAAGCATTCTGTGACCATGTATTCAGGTCGTTTGACAAGGACGGCAGTGGTTCCATCGAATTTAAAGAGTTCCTGCTGGCCATTAACATTACCTCCAACAAGGGTGACCCCAAGGAGAAACTCAACTGGGCCTTTTCTATGTACGATATAGACGGCAACGGGACGATAGACAAGTCAGAAATGGAGAGTATTATCAAGGTAAGACAATCTATAAGGAGTCATTGCCACGTCAATAGTCGTTCAATTCAGTTTGATCTTTCAGTTATATAACCACGGTTCATTTCAATGTTAATTATTGTTAAGTTTTAGAACCATAGTTCATTGAAGTGTGGACCCCCCACTCCCAAACCCACCTGCTGTCATCTTTTTTACCAGCCAGTTCAGTGTCAGATCAACAATTGTGTGCTGGTTATTGCTGCAGACCGCTGGTTGTGTTTACTTCTCATCGACCAGCCGTCTACTTCATCCCCGCCATTGTTGCTTCATTGATCGCGGTCTTCGATCAACAGGTGCTGTCTTCCTTGCTCTGTTGTCTCCCCCTGATCCTCCTTCCCAGTGTCCCCAGACCGGTAGACATGGCCGCCCAGTCAGGCATCAGTATTTCCGCCAGTATTGATTGGCGCTTGTAGGAAGCATAAATGTATTATTGCTTCCTTCCCTTTCTACTATTACTCCTCACTTCCTGCCTGATATCATCATCGTAATCTTGGTTTTCTTCGTGTTTACTTCTTCTTTTTGGCTGCGAAAGAAATTATACCTCACTCAAAACGTGAACCAGTAAATAGGACAAGTCTGAGGAAGCAGCTACATGGAAGTCGTCCTTATGTGGGATGCAATTTTGTGTTTTTTGAAGCCCCACCCCGGCTTTTACCGGGGGCCCTGAATATAGCCGGGGCATAGATATAGCCTAACGGTTGAAATAAGTTTCTGGGACCTCTCCACGGGTGATCCTCATCCGCATGGTGGCACTTTCTGTCACCGGGTGTTTATCGCTTGTGTGATGTCCTGGTGGGTTACAACCTCAGGGAGTAGAGATTTAGTCTCTCGGACGAATGATTACTTTCGAATGATTACTTTCGAATGATACTACTGTCGGTTGCTGCCTGTATTCACCACTGAAGCGGTGTAGACAGGGAGATCTTGAGCCAGATATGCTGCAGCCCACTTCAGCCGAATCCGACGGTTATATCCGACCGCCCCTGGGGTTACAAAGTAACACAGTCCAGTGTTGAGATGAGTTGATTCAGTCAGTCGATCAGGTTGTACCCTCCTGTGTGCTGTCTTACTGAGGTTGAAAAAATATCCTGAATAGCAGACCAACAAGGCAGGTTACAGATATTCTGTTTAACCTCATCAAAACTATAATTAGGGCATGTATAATGGACACATCAGCCATGTACAACCTCCAGCCATGTACAACCTGCAGCCGTGTACAACCTGCAGCCATGTACAACCAGGAGCCGTGTACAACCTGCAGCCATGTACAACCTGCAGCCGTGAACAACCTGCAGCCATGCACAACCTGCAGCCATGTGAGGCTTAGGACGTTGTGTAAGGGAATATCATCAGCATAATTGATTTGAGAACACTAACGACCGAGATCTCTGGAGAGTTGAACGCCCGAAGCATTATGGTGAGCCTACGGTGAGGAATCCTGAACCTTTACGAGCAGTCTTACTGTCCTTCCCGTCGCTGTTGAGTAGTATCAAGCATTATCTCAGTCTTTTTTCTTGTTCCCGTTCACCAGTCATAAACTCTGGTGCAAAGTCCTGGTTGTTTGTCCACCTTCAAACTTTAGTCTTGTTCTGAACCTGAATGTTGAGTGTGCATTCGTTTTACACAACTCTTTTTTTTGAATGCAGCATTGGTTCCTTATCTCTCAGACATACATGCTCCTTCATCCACTAGTCGTCCCCTTGTGGGATGTAATTTTTCGTAATTTGAAGCCCTACCATGGCTTTTGCCGAAACCACTGAATATAGCCGGGGCATAGATATAGCCTAACAGCTGAAAGAAGTTTCTGGGACCTCTTCACGGGTGATCCTCATCCGCATGGTGGCACTTTGTGTCACTGGGTGTTCATCGCTTGTGTGATGTCTTGGTGAGGTACAACAAGCAAGCAAGCAAACTCTGACTTTGAGAGATGGACCTTTTTAGGCGACTCCAACGACATGCTTTTGGAGAGGCGGTGGGTCTCTCCTTGTTTACCCACAAATGGGTTCTCGAACCCACACGATGAAACATAATAAGATATTAAATATCACGCCATCCTGAAATTAGCTTCTTTTATAAAGTCGAGATACCGGAATATTAAGTTATTCTTTCTCAAACATGGACTAAGGGACATAACCCGTGAAAATGAACACGTACTGGTTACAGAGCTACAGGTTTGCTGCCCCTGGTTTTTTAAAAATGACTCGATTTCCAGGCACAAGCCCGTCTAACATAGTATAGTACAGTGCTCTATTTAGGCATAAGCTACTTATCTTCACCTTAGGGCCTCACAATCTGCACGGGCCTCAACAGATGCCTTATTTTCTGTTTGAAAAAATTAGATTTTTTTAAAAAGAGCTTTTAAGAGGATTATAAAATATAAATTCTGTGATTTAGCAGACATTTAATTTTTCTGTAACTAGAAATTAAATGATAGTGTATTTCTATCATTCAAATATTTAAAAGGAGTATACATTTTGAAGTTTTCTGAGATTAGCTCACATAATATAAAACTTTTGGGAAAAAAAAGGAGAAGTCAAATTGGATATTAAAGCACATAGGGTTGGACAGTTGGCTAGAGAAAGAGAGACTTTCAGCAGTGTAGTGAATAGAGTAATATTCTATAAAGGACCTGCTGTTTGATGAGGGGCCCCATGGCTTTATGTAGTTTAGCTTAGAGCCTCATGAAGTCCAAATCTGGCCCTGGTACAGTTTAATGTCTTGGGAGGTGAAGGCCCCATCAGCCACTTAGTACTGTTTGGTCTATAAGATCATGGGTCCAGCATCAATGACATGTCCCATGTGCAACCCACAGGGAAAGAGCCCTTTACTTTCACTGATGAATCAAGGGCAGACATTTGTTTCATTGACATTGTCACCTCAGTCAGTTATTGTCATTATTTGCTTGTTTAGAATTACCTTTGTGGTTTCCGGGCCCCCATTTGTTGAAGGGTCCGGGGCCCCATTTGATGAAGGGTCCGGGGCCCCATTTGTTGAAGGGTCGGGGGCGAAGAATAGACAGTTCCTGAACCAGCATCTACCACAAGGTGACTAAATGAAGATTTGCGTAAACTGAATGTCTATATTCCTGTCTAGCGGTAAACTACAACATATCATCATCCGTTTTAAGAACTACTACTTCATTTATATTAACATCGTCATAATATAAAATGGTTCTGTCCTTGCTAATGATGCAGCTGGTATTTTCTAACAGCATATATGTTTGTGGGCTGACACCTTTCTGTTTGTGGGCTGACCCCCTTTTGTTTGTGGGCTGACACCTTTCTGTTTGTGCGCTGACACCCTTTTGTTTGTGGGCTGACACGCTTTTGTTTGTGGGCTGACACCTTTCTGTTTGTGGGCTGACCCCCTTCCCTTTGTGGGCTGACCCCCTTCCATTCGTGGGCTGACAACCTTCCGTTCGTGGGCTGACCTCTTCCCTTCGTGGGCTGGCCCCCTTCCCTTCATGGGCTGACACCCTTCCCTTTGTGGGCTGACCCCCTTTCCTTCGTGGGCTTACCCCCTTTCCTTCGTGGGCTGACTCCCTTCCCTTTGTGGGCTGACTCCCTTTCCTTCGTGGGCTGACCCCCTTCCCTTCATGGGCTGACACCCTTCCCTTTGTGGGCTGACCCCCTTTCCTTCATGGGCTGACTCCCTTCCCTTTGTGGGCTGACCCCCTTCCCTTCATGGGCTGACCCCCTTCCCTTCATGGGCTGACTCCTTCCCTTCGTGGGCTGACTCCCTTCCCTTCGTGGGCTGACTCCCTTCTGTTTCGTGGCTGAATCTTCCCTTGCTGGTTTTCTCTGTGTTTCTTTTCCTAACAATGTTTATTTCCAGTTTGCCACAACATACTGCAAATTTTTCTGTCTGTATAATTAAAATGTAGAATTAATGAATAAAAACATCAAAGAATCAACATCATTGGGTATATAATAACCCATTTGGAAGTTTTCCTTGGAAGAAAAGTATCTAGAGGAAGGAAGCCTCGCCTAAATGTCTGCTGCTGTTCTACACTCCTGCTTTATCTCTCTGGCTTGCTCAGCTGCCTAGAATCTTGTTTTAAAAAAGCTGCTAACTTTGCTTTATTCCTACTTTGTTTTATTTTTTCTTTATTAAAAAATTTTTTTAAATAATCTGTTATACTTGTCTCTCCTTCAAGCTTAATATAGCATGCTCACTTATGTCAAGTAAACATCCCTTTAGACGCCAATGATACATGGAGTATGTGTGTCTAGACTCATGTTTTCATAGACCAATGGACACTAGATAGGTTATGTTGTCACAATCGACGTCGCTGCACATTGGGCATTCCTAGTCCTCCGAAGGGTTATATGGTCAACATCATGCTTACAACCTTAACTTTCCAGGACTTTATCTAGCACCTGTTTAATGCTGGGTTGATCTGGGAGCCAAGGTCGTGTTTGAAAAAACCTGTTTAATGCTGGGTTGATCTGGGAGCCAAGGTCGTGTTTGAAAAAACAAATAATGCAACTCCAAGCAAATTTGAAACTACGCTTTCAAATCCACAGACCCCGGGGATTAGCAGTTCATTGCCTTAACCACTCTGCCACCTCGACTAACTGCTTGTTTATCTGTTTGTCTGTTTCTGTTGCAGGCCATATATAACATGTTTAACACTAACTGTTATATTTGTCTGTTTCTCTTGCAGGCTATATATAACATGTTTTAACACTAACTGTTATATTTGTCTGTTTTCTCTTGCAGGCCATATATAACATGTTTAACACCAACTGTTATATTTGTCTGTTTTCTCTTGCAGGCTATATATAACATGTTTAACACTAACTGTTTTATTTGTCTGTTTTTTCTTGCAGGCCATATATAACATGCTAGGCAGTGCCATCCAGGATCAAGCTATTGAAAGTCCCCAAGAGAGAACACTGAAAATATTCAAAAAAATGGACACCAACGATGATGGGGTCCTGTCCAAGGAAGAGTTTGTCCAGGGATGCATGAATGACCGGTGTCTGTATCAGATGTTAACAGCTGACGGGGAACCACCCAAGGAATAATACGGGCCGGGGGATAGGGAGGGGAACAATAAAACTAACATTGTCAATCTGTTACTGAAGTTAAGTCAAGCACATTAATGAATGTTTGTACGTGTGTGTATGTTCATATTTACATGTCTATTTGCAAGTTCATGTTTGATGATTTACACATCTCATATATTGTGTAAAAGGAGTTCTTTGTTGTAAGTTTATCATGAAGTATATACACATGGTTTGATCATGTTGCCGTCAAATGCAGAAGTTGTTTTCTTTGTGTTGTATGTTAGTGTTCTTCCTGTACCTTGGTAACTTTTGTTGTTTTCAAATGTCAAGAGTTCACTGCCAGAAAGACATGAAAGTTAGAATAATCTCATGTCAACTACTGTTGTTTTGGCTGGGAAATTATAAGGCCATATTATGTTACAACATTTTGTAAGGATGCCTAGTTTTCTTTATTACTGTTTTGTATTCCAAGAAATACCTCTGTTAGCCGTTTGCTGAGTTGGTATCAGCCATAGAGTAGGTAGTCACATTTCAGGCCTCTCCACATACTATAACATAGTATGTGAAGTCCAAAACTCCATATCCCTACGATGGAGATATGAACTTTTAGGCTTCTCTACACATTGTAACCTAGGCATATATAGTTTTAGGCTCTTCCTCACATTGTAACCTAGGCATATATAGTTTTAGGCTCCCCCTCACATTGTAACCTAGGCATATATAGTTTTGGGCTTTCCCACATACTGTAACCTAGTTATATATAGTTTTAGGCTTCCACACTTTTTAACCTTGGCATATATAGTTTTAGGCCTCCCCGCACACTGTGACCTGGGCATATAATATTAGTTTAAGGCTTCTCCACACATTGTAACCTAGGCATTTATAGTTTTAGGCTTTCCCTCGCATTGAAACCTAGACATATATAGTTTTAGGCTTTCCCACACACTGTAACCTAGTTATATAAAGTTTTAGGCCTCCCCACACTGTCAAACTTCATTTGCACACACACACACACACACACACTATGTCATGACAGTATGAAGTGCACTGTCTACATGTGAGCACAAATTGAAAGAAGTGATGAAGAATGTAGTAATTTTGGCACGAGAGAATACATACAAACAAGAGAATTCTAGAAAATTTGAACAATGACCAATGATTGATCCTGGATTTTATTTGTTGCAGCTTTCTATACAGTCATTTTTTAGAGTGTGCTTCTGCATGCCTTCTTGTGTCTATGTGTTGTTATGTTCTGTGTGTTGTTATGTTCTATGTGTTATTATGTTCTGTGTGTTATGTTCTATGTGTTGTCATCCTATCATATTATATTGTGTTTTTTGTTTTCCTCCTGAAAAAAATGTTCCTTGGTAATGTGTTTTCCAACTGTTGAATGTTATGTCTACTCAAAGGTACTGTATGGTGCAAGAGGACATTATAATCAACACTCCACTCTATTGTGTGATCTGGACAATAAAGAAGCAAATAGAAAGTTAAATTGAGTCACTGAATTGTGGATATGCAGAAGAATAGAATTTATGTAGGGGAAAAAAAAACAATTAAACATATAGTTTCTGTAGACCTGAAAGGAAAAGAGAGTGACTGACAGAAATTAGAAGAATAAAAAAGTGAAGTGTCAGCCACATTAAAAGACAAAACACTTTTTAAAAAAAAACAATAACGATGGCAAAGTGAAAGACAAGAGGTAGACATCTATATAAGTGGGATGATAATATGAAGAGATGGATGGCAGATGTCGCAGATAGTGTATAAACAGGATAAAAGAAAAAGAGTATTGAAGATCTACTATTAAAAAAAAAAAAGTAAAGGACCCTTTTCCACGCCTTTAGGCGTTTAGGGCATATAGGGCTAGACCTATATTTTTATAGACCAATCAGCACAAGATGGGTGATGTGGTCAGCATCACGCCAGCCGCCTTTACTTTCCCGGGATTGCACCTGGTACCCACTCAAGGCTGGGTCGACCTGGGAGCCAAGGTCATTATTTAAAAACAGTCCGGCTCTGCCAGTGAGCCAACCCACGACCTTCTGATCCGCGACGAGCGTCTAGCCGCTTGGCCACGGCGACTCCCGAAGATCTACTATAGCAAACTTTTTTTAAGGAGATGGCACCTCATTGACTATTGAATTAATTTTCCTAGAAACAGAGGGAACTTTCTCAATAAATCACATGACTATGATGGTAAATAACGACATTCATCAGAAATTGTGGGCCTCTGAGCAAAGACAAAACCAGTTGTGGCTGTTTTGTTAAAGAAGTAAGCAGGACAAAACCAGTTGTGGCTGTTTTGTTAAAGAAGTAACCAGGACAAAACCAGTTGTAGCTGTTTTGTTAAAGAAGTAAGCAGGACAAAACCAGTTGTAGCTGTTTTGTTAAAGAAGTAAGCAGGACAAAACCAGTTGTAGCTGTTTTGTTAAAGAAGTAAGCAGGACAAAACCAGTTGTAGCTGTTTTGTTAAAGAAGTAAGCAGGACAAAACCAGTTGTAGCTGTTTTGTTAAAGAAGTAAGCAGGACAAAACCAGTTGTGGCTGTTTTGTAAAAAAATAAGCAGTTATGGTTTTCCCTTGGTCAATGACTTTAACAGTCAGGGATTGTTCTTGTTAAAATAAATGCACCAGAAGTCAGGGAATTTGACTGACTGACTGACTGACTGACTTTCTACCCCACCAGGACATCACACAAGCGATAAACACCCGATGACACAAAGTGCCACCATGTGGATGAGGATCGCCATGGAGAGGTCCCAGAAACCGCGTTCAGACAATTGGCCATATTTATGGCCTGCCTATATTGCGGCCCCTGGCAAAAGCCAGGGTGGGGCTTCAAATAACAAAAAATGTCCTCCTAAAAAGGACGAAACTGGATTTCTAATGACCAGGTAGTCTGGGAATTGTCTCCCTTGTTCACTATGTCATTATTTAGGGGATTTTGAAAAATGAGTTACCAAAATGAATGCATGAGAGGTTTAGCTTAAGCTAAAAATGTTTGAGGTATACATTATAAACACAAGCTGTTGTTGTCACAAGAAGAGATGGAATGAAAAATTGTGACATTAGAAGAAACAGGAATAGTATCAAGGACAGAATAAAGAGATAGACAGAAGTAAAGTAGTTTGGTCTTTTCATGCAGGTGAAGTAGAAGCCACTGCCGCCATCTAGCGTAGTGATGTAGCTGGCTGTAAGGTTTAACTACATAAAATATCTGAGACAAGGGAGAAAAGCTTGATGGGAAATAACTGAAAAATACCTCAAAGCCCTTAGTCTTTGATGGCTTTTAAAATTTTTATTTTGATGTAAGATTTAGTCCGTGTCTAGTGTGGGGTTGGCATTTTGGCGTTAAAGAACAGCATAATGCCATTCATCAATTTATGTGTTTTAAATTTTGGTCGAAGCACAGCAAATAAATCTGGCTTCTAAAGTGGCCACTTCTAATGTTTATTTTAGGCTGTTTTTTTTTCTTCTTCTTCTACTTGGTGTTAATGTCTGTAAACTCTGGTTGAAAAGTTCTGGTTGTTCATCCACTTCTAGACTTTAGTCATGTACCAGAACTTGAATTTTATGTGCACATCCATTTTACACACGTCTGCCTTATCTGCTGGTTCCTCGCCTCTCAGGCAGGATGGACTCCAACTTCACAGGATACACTTCTAGGCGACTTTTAGAACTCATCATAGTGGAGCATTGGAACTATTCCCCCCCCCCCCACCCCCCCCTTAGATTCCCTGCCAAAATAGGGCCCTAGAGAGTGTTAAAACCACACCAAGCATCCTTAGATTTCCCTGCCTGGAGAGTGTTACACCCCACCAACCTTGGATTTCCATGTCTAAAGAGTGTTAAACCACACCAACCTTGGATTTCCATGTCCAAAGAGTGTTAAACCACACCAACCTTGGATTTCCATGTCCAAAGATTTCCATGTGTTACACCACACCAACCTTGGATTTTCTGAAACATGTACACCACCAAAGAGTGTTACACCCCACCAACCTTGGATTTCCATGTCTAAAGAGTGTTAAACCACACCAACCTTGGATTTCCATGTCTAGAGAGTGTTACACCACACCAACCTTGGATTTCCATGTCTAGAGAGTGTTACACACACAACCTTGGATTCCACACCAACCTTGGATTTCCATGCCTAAAGAGTACACCACAAAGAGTGTTAAACCACACCAACCTTGGATTTCCATGTCTAGAGAGTGTTACACCACACCAACCTTGGATTTCCATGTCTAGAGAGTGTTACACCACACCAACCTTGGATTTCCATGCCTGAACAGTGTTACACCACACCAACCTTGGATTTCCATGTCTAGAGAGTGTTACACCACACCAACCTTGGATTTCCATGCCTGAACAGTGTTACACCACACCAACCTTGGATTTCCATGTGTAGAGAGTGTTACTACACACATACCTTGGATTTCCATGTCTAGAGAGTGTTACACCACACCAGCCTTGGATTTCCATGTCTGAAGAGTGTTACATGTCGCCAGGTGCTGAAATTGCCCTTGACACAACAAAACTTCACGATGGGCAGACTAGTCTGATGTTTTCTAACTGATCTAAGTCAAGTTATAAAATCTGTACAAGCTGTACATGTTATTTAAAAAAAAAAGCTTTATTGCCAAAGTGAAGATAAATTTGTGAAGGAATTACCAAAGATCAAGGATCTGAATTTGTAAAGGAATTACCAAAGAGTAGGATCTGAATTTGTGAAGAAATTAACAAAAATCAAGGATCTGAATTTGGGAAGGAATTCCAAAAAGTGGGATCTGAATTTGTGAAGGAATCACCAAAGATCAATGATCTGAGTTTGGGAAGGAATTACCAAATGTAGAAATGTAATATTGTTTAAAATTAACTGAAGATTAAGGAGCACAAATTGTGAAGTCTTTATCAAAGATGACTGGTGTGTTCTTGCATATGTTTTTAGATATTGAATGAAAGACATTTTTGGTTAAACAGGAAAATACATTTGAGTTATTTGAGTTAACAGCA